TCATAAGCAAAAAATCCTATAAATTTATAGAAACATGTAAAAATAATATTTCACAATTTTAACCTCCAGTTTTTTTAATATATATTTTATAAAAGATGTTTTGTTATATGGTGAAAAATGATTCATAAAATAGAATTTTTATATACAAAATTCATACAAATTATGTGACACTGTTATTTTTGGACCATAAAATGAGTTTTTTTTTCCTCTTTAAAATGATCACAAAAGAAAAAAAAAAATCATTTTATGTGAGTTTTTTGTATGAAAATTCTATTTCTACAACATTATTATTGAATATCAACCCTTAGAAAAACTAAACTAATATTGCTATAGGTGAAGAAGTCAAACACTTCACAATAACAACATAAATGTCCAGAGAAATTTCTAAAAATTATAATTTTCTCTGAACTTAAAATAAAAGTCCAAAGACATCTACAAACTGATATTCACCTTCAAGATGATAAAAAGCAAAATCACAGAAACTTAATGAATCATAGAGAAATTTACTGCTAACTATTAAACATAATCATAGAAAAAAATCACACAGAATATCTGTTATGAAATTATAGGCTTCTCCATAATTTTCACCTCACTGCAAGCTAACAATTTTTTATGCGTCATTCTGTAATATTGCACTCATAGAAAAATCCAGAGAAATTTACAAACTTATATACACCTTCAAGATAACAAAAAACACTGCATTGTCCATCTAAACTGAAAGAAAAAACACAAAAAATAACTTTTGCTTAGAGAAACAAAAACTTCTATTCATCTTCTACAAACATATAATTTTCTCTGAACTACAAACTGAAAGTGAGTAACAAACTTACAATTTTCTCTGAACTACAAATGCAAGTCCAGAGAAATTTATGAACTTACATTCACTTTCTCATATTCTATCTGCATTAGAAACTTCTAATAATATGTCCATATGCACTTATAATTTCCTCTGGACTACACAAACAATAGTGCAGAAAATGAAATTTCTCTGGTTTGAAAAAACATAGAACAAAACTTATCATTGATCGGCATGTTGATAAAAAACAGAGCACCAAAAATGAACTCTAAACATCAAAATTACCTACACTGTCAACACTATTTGAAATTGATCAAAAAACAAAGAATGAAAAATTAATTCCAAAAAATAAAAATCAACTCTATCAAGCTGGCCTCTCTCTAAACAAAAATCAAAATCCATGTGGAATCTAAATCGAAAACAAACCTAATTCAACTGCACTCAAAAACCTACGCGATCAGCACACTGTCAACACTCTTTGAAATTGAATAAAAAACAAATAATAAAAAATCAATTCCAAAAATAAAAATCAACTCTATCAAGCTGCCCTCTCTCTAAACAAAAATTCAAAACAAAAATCAAAATGCATGTGGTATCTCCATCGAAAACAAATCTGATTCAACTCCACTGAAAATCTACGCGATCAACACACTGTAACACCACTGAAATCTCCGACGAAATCTCCAACGAAATCTACACGATCGTAGCAATCTTTCTCGTCAACTCCACTGAAATCTCTGACGAAATCTCTACCATAAAATCTTCACTGAAATCTCCGACGAAAACTCCGACAAAATCTCCACTTCAAATTCGGTTTCCAAAATCTATCAGTTAAGTCAACAATATAATATTCAAACAAATTTATGTTATAAAGGAAGGGTAATTTAGGTACTTTATAACCTAAAATAAATTTGAGGGATCTTAGCCATCAAAACATATTATAAAGGACCTCTCCTCCTATCAAAAGTAGAGGAGGGACCTTAGGCCAATTTTCCCTAGTTTTAGTCTACATTTTAATAAGCACTTAAATTTTTAAGTAATATCAATTATATCAAACGGGCTTAATTAAATTATCAGTAAATATATTCAATTTTAAGTAGTGAAATAGGTTATCAAACACCCTCTAACAAAATGGCATAACTTTATATTTTTTGAGTTATAATTAAATAAATTCATAATCAAACAAATTAAAATTTTCATAAGTCATAATTAAAATAAAATCATAATTAAAAAATAAAATTTGTCATAACTAAAAAAAATGACATAATTTAAAGTGTCTATGGTGGCGCTATGGATAGTAGTATTTCCCAAATTACAAATATAGCTTAACCTGCATACTGTAAATATTCATTTTATCCATATAAGGTTGGATGAGATAAGAAATTAATAGACTATGCATTTTGATTTATCTCATATTAAAAGGAAATCTTAATCTAAAAATGTTTTCATACATTAAAATTGTTCAAATTTACCCTCAATTGAAGAAATAACTCAATATACTACTTTATAATAATCAATTGTAAAAGAATATTCAGCATATTTTGATTTTTCTGTTTTTTTTAATCAATTTCTTCAATAATAACATATGTAAATTCATTTTCTCTACAATTTTTGAAAACAATGAAAACTATTGATCTAAGAAAACAGCTTTTCTATTACTTGAAAGATTGCATCGCATGAGTCCTTTCTTCACCGTGTTTAAAACAGTCACGCATAAGGCTCCGTACACTTTCTTTTTGATTTAGCACAAAAAAATAATGCATTTTTTAGTTTTGTCAATCAATGGAAAAATTAACCATACAAAAATAAAAAAGGAAAAAAAAAGGTCAAACTGCTAAAACACATGGTGAAAATGTGTCAAACTGCAGCTAATATGGACATATAAGAGAAGAAAAACTATCAAGTGGCAATTAAAATCTTCACGTATAATGTACAAAAATTAACTGAAGATTACTGGTACCTTTCATAAATTTATGGATACATTATAAACAACATTCTATAATCACCAACCCCAACTCCGTTTTCATTTCCAAAATTCAAGATTGCCTCTTTACACATGAAGTTTCTGACAGAAGGAAGCCATTGCCTTAGGTTTAAAAATCGTCAAGAGATTCAATCACCCATTTCGAAGGGCAGGCCAGAATTCTAGTACTCCTTAGCTTTTCTCCGCAATTCATTTAGTTCTCTCTCAATCTCGGTATCTTGAAAAGGGAATGCTGAGTTTGTACTCGCAACAGCCGATCTCCCAGGTGGAAGCTCTCCTTTCTGTTAGCCAAAAGAAAAAAGAAACATGATTGATCCAAAGTAAAAATGTTCAAGCAATCACTATGCAAATCACAATTCATTTGGTTGCCATGAAAGTAGACAAACTAGATAGGAAGTCAAGATTTCAGAACTACTGCATTATCTACATGTTCTATCGATTCTATTATATAAAGCACACAACTCAAAACATGTTTTGAGGTCATGTTACGCATTTTTTCATACCCAAATTACTCCTATGCAATTGTCTAGGTTTTTATTTCTTCATTTTTTTTTCTAGACAACAGTTACAACTGTCATTTCTGCACATGCATCATGTGTGTGCATAGCCTTCTAGTCCCACATAATTGTGAGATATCAAATTAAAATTCTCATATTCTCTCACGTACACAATTATGCACACACAAAAGGAACTATAACAGAATTGGCAGTCCTATTGCTGCAAGATTGAAGGTTCTAATAACAAGAAAAAATGATGTCAGCCAAAGAATTTGTAACTGCTTATGGATATGATGCCAAGATTCTTTCCTAGTGATTATTTCTGTCAGTAAAAAAAAAAAATAGTACAAAGGTTGTAAAAAAAAACATTATAGTAGCTAGTAATATCAAACTGTTAGATTTACAAAAGAAAGAAGATCTGTCAGTAGATATCTTCAATAGTACAAAGGTTGTAAAAAAAAACATTATAGTAGCTAGTAATATCAAACTGTTAGTCACAAAAGAAAGAAGAAATGAGCAAGAAGAATGAGAGAAGAAAATACAGCTAATGAGAGAGAACCTAGAAAATTAGGGTTCTCCTCTTAGACACATATTTTCATATTATACATAACGCTTAACAAAGACAATATTAATTTTTTAAGGAAAACTGTCAATAAGCAACTAAAGTCAAGTTTGGGACAGCTTAAAGAAGTGCTTCACAAAGACACAGCTTGTTAGAAATTAAAAACTAGGCCTGCTCTTCATGCTTGATGAGCCTTTGGTTGGTATTAAAGTAATCACATGTGAAACTTAAAATGTCTTTAAAAGAGAAACTTTTCTGACTCAAAAAAAAAAAAAAATCCCAGCTTTCCTTCCTTGTAAGCTGCATCATGAAGGAGTACTTTAAGGAAGCAGATCCATTGCTGATGAAAGCCCTTTTGGCATCCCAATGGACCTTTTTGAACCCCAAGTGAAAGCATTATACACTCACCAAGATCAATTAAATATGATGGAACAGAAAGACAAACAAATAATCCTAAATTCCTAGCACAAATTAGCCATATGTTAGCAATAGGGACATAGCACTTACAGACAAATGATAGAAGTAGAAATACCTTTGTGCTGCCAGACAGTTCTTTCTTCAGATTTGCAAGATCCTCATCAACTGAAGAGCTCTCTAGCAATGCAAACTGTAAAAGAAAGAAGTGTTTGGAATTGTAGAATTACATAAAACCAAGTAAAGTGCTTCTCGTTTGGAAACTGTCTCAACAGGTCCAATCAATTTATGTTCAAGACCAACAACTGAGGATGGCACTAATATTATAAATGTTCGCATTGTAAGTCATACACCTCTTGTAATATCTCGATTTTTATACAACTTTTTATTTATGAACATTTTCTGCATGAAATGTAAATTGGTTTAATTTATAAATTTGAAAAAGTTGGAGAAATTTCATAATTTTAAAACACAGATGGAATTTTCCTAATAGTATGACTTAAATTCTAACAAATTAACACTTAAAATATAAATTTGGGACTAACTGGACTAGTCCCAATTGGTTAACTTGGCACTTGATAAGTTGATATGATTATGATTATAGAGATGGAATGCTGATTATGTTGGTATTGTCTATGTTATTTGACAGTAAATGGGTTGTTAGGTTCTCGTGTTCCATAGGCCAAGGCAATGTTGTTCATAGCAGGTCATCTGTCAGCTATCGTGTTCCATTAAACAATAATTTTTTTGTCTCTGGTCAGATAACAGTGACAAGGATAACCATGGTCGTTGACATGCTTATTTTCACATCATCCATATGAATTTGAAACTTCTATCCAGTCAACAAGAAAAATATTGCACTAGAATGAGCAGAAGAATTTCTTTTTAATTCTTTATTTACATATGTTCGATGATGATAATAACCACAACAAGAACACCACCACAAACTTGCACATATGATGGGGCATCATACAAACAGTGTAGTAACTATGGTGTAAGCTAGATGGTCGTTGACATGCTTATTTTCACGTCATCCATATGAATTTGAAACTTCTATCCAGTCAACAAGAAAAATATTGCACTAGAATGAGCAGAAGAATTTCTTTTTAATTCTTTATTTACATATGTTCGATGATGATAATAACCACAACAAGAACACCACCACAAACTTGCACATATGAGGCATCATACAAACAGTGTAGTAACTATGGTGTAAGCTAGATACTCCGCAGGCAATATAGGGAAACAATTCCATGGCCATATATTTGCAGAAGGCTGGTTCGAATAGCACAGTTCAAATGTTCATCTATTTGCATATGGCACCTCATCCTTCCTTTTTTGTCAAATCAATTCAAATGCTAATCCTAAAATATAAGTCTATAGCAAGAGAGTTAAAACCTCTGAACAGGAGACACTGATGTAAAAAAGAAAACTCTACCTTTCCTTCAAGATCATCAGTTGTTAGCTGATTAAGTGCCTCTGCTTGAGATTCCATGGCCATAACTATTAGGAAACACAACGAAAAACTTTATCAACCATACTATTATAGTTTAGATTTGCCCCAATATAACTTGAATGGATTACTTGCTTTCATTCAAAGACCAAATTAGAGTAATTGGACCTCACAAATATGCCCATAATCCAAAAATCTTAGAAGTGGAAAACCTTAGAACATCTAGCAATCAAGCGCTAAGTACCTCCTAGATCACCCAACAAATGAAAAGATGCAAGAAAAGGAAACACTTGAACGGATTACTTGCTTTCATTCAAAGGCCGAATTAGAGTAACTGGGCCAGTTGATAATTATATAAAAACTAATTTAACTACAAAAATTCAATGAAATCACTTCAAGAACAACATTTTAAACAACAGGAAACTAAAAAATCTCCGTGGCATGTATTAATGCCCCTAGGATCTCAGACATTCACAAGAACCAATACCCTCAGTTTCTATGGGGAATAATTGGAGTTGGTAATAAAGGCTATAGGGTTTCTCCGCAATATGGCCTTTTTAATACACTTTCATTGAAGATAATACAGAAACCGATTACAATGTAAGCCATTTGGAGAGGGTCTGCATCTTCTCATCTAACGATCTTCTAGCAGATTGCTGCTTTGAAATAGATCTTCTATAGTAGATCATCTTGATCTCAACTGTCAACCTCATAAAAAGTGCAGTGTGGACAAGATAGGCTGAGAATCAGATCATCTGTAACTTAGCTATTCTATTCTAGTGGCTGTACAAATACACGTATAGTTACTAAATAAAGAAAGGTTTATTAAACACAAGATTTGCATTTGAAGACCTTAATAATAATATGGGACCTACCAGTGTTTGTAAATAAATAAATAAAAAAAGTGCCAACAATTAGGATGATATGGCCAGCAGCGGTTTGTCTTGTATTCCATATCTTTTGCCTATTCTAGGGCTACAGTCATTTTATCTTTTACTTGCTCATAAAAGACTTACAGAAATTCCCCTTCTACAAGTACCAAAAGGTACATGACAGAAACCAAAAAAACAAAAAACAAAAAAATGGAGAGAAAAAAAATGGGCTAACCTTTTTCCTCCATCTTTTCAAAAGCTGAAAGAGCACTGCTTGTGTTCACATTCCCCAACATTTCGCTCACTTTGGTTGCAGTCCTAAAAGAGGAAATATTTTACAAAAATAAAAAGTAGCCACTTTGTATTTAAACATGTGAAGTAAAGATATTTTGCAATCTGAAGAGTGAAATAAATAATTGATAGAAGGTAAGAACAAACTTTGCAGATTGAGCACGTGCTTTTAGGGTATCTTTCTTTGACTTTGCTTCCTGTATCTTGCTTTCCAATAGCTTTCAATGAAAAAAATCAGAAATATAGTCAACCAAACTGCACTAGTTTCAATGCTTGTGCCATTGATGTGACTAAGCCTTCAAATGACAAAACAGCCATCATGGCTTACAGTAATTTAAACTTTTCTCCAAAGAGCATTTTAAACCCTTTGCAACTACAAGACCAAATCCCAGTTAACCAAAGAAACAAATACAATTTCATTGAATGTGTACAAATGGAGACTCCAACAAGCCATAATCTATAAAAATAAAAAATAAAAAAATTACAAAGAAGCAGATATGGAAAAACTATCATTCATAGGTGTCCACATAGCAAAAAGAAAATGAGACCCACCCGTGTATTGGAGACAAGATTATCAACAACATTCTTCTGCTGATCAAGTTGAGCCTTCAAAGTATTCGCATTATCCTGAATGGTACAAGTGAAGTAGAATTAGTGGGGAGAAAATACAGACTGATGGCATTGTCACGATAATCTTTCATTTACTTTCTTATCCCGTCTTGAAAAAATTACAAAAAATTAACATAACCCTCCAAGTTGATAACCACTTGCCAGAAAAAATAAAAATAAAAACATGCATGCACAAGCACGCGAGCGCGCACACACACAAAAAGAAAAGAAAAAAGAGAGTTTTTAGGTAGTCATTGCATTTATTGAAATCCGATACTCGAAAATAAATAGTAATAAATACTTAAAACAAAAGAAAGTTTACAACAAATCACAATATGCTGCAAGAAGTAAACTCCAAACAAGTATTAGAGATCAAAAAGTCAGGGACTAGATGATGGCAATCTTAGTAATAGTATTCTAGTAAAATGCATCAGTTACAGTCATGTTCTCAAGAAGCTTCACAGTTATCATTAACCCATGTACTTGCATTTGAATGTCAATGCCCAAAGTTACCCAAATGAAAAAATAGAAAGATCTTTTAGGTTGTGTTTTGATCTTTCCAAGACCTGCTTTTGCAGTACACTGTCATCTCATAAACTTAGTCATCTGGAAAAATACAAGAAAAGTAAAGCAATCAATAAGAAACATATGTAGCATGTGAGCTTGTCAATATTAGATCAGACATTCTATCCAGAACTTTTAAATTCTCAAGCAAATTTCAAACCTCGTAATGCAATTCATCGAGCAGTTTTTATTAATAAGGTATATTACATATTAATCACAACCACTTAACCAGTTCACCAGAACAAAGACTTACAGCATAAGATTTACGCCGTTTAAGAGCTTCACGAGCAAGATCCTCATCTCCCTTCCCAAGAGCAAGTTGTGCTCTTTTGTACCTATCGTAAAATGGAAGGATAAAACCAACAAGGCTGGAACCATTGATTTACAGCTTTTAATAGCTATTTTGCAAATTACCATTCTTCAGAGGCTTCTTGTGCAGCTTTGTATTTATTTTCCAACCGCTTCTGTGATGCCAGAACCTTCAGAAAAAAGGAAAAGACATAGGCTGTGTTTTTAAGACTTTCCAAAATTAATTATACGTTTTAATTCTAATCCTATGTTGGGTTAGAGTTTTCAAATTATGATTCCAAAACCATTTTAAAACACATTTAGAAAACATGTTTGGTAAACCAAATTTTTTTTGAATTTTTGGTCTACCCGGTCGTCCACCCGGACATCTTGATGTCCGGCCAATTGATCGGAATAGTACTTTCTTTTTCTTTTTCTTTTTTGCAATTGCCAATAGCCACCTATTATTTGGAAGAAAAAAAAAATTATATTTGTTTTTGATATTTTTTAAATATAGAAATTACTTTTTTAGACCAAAATGATAAATTTTTTTTTTTAATTGAATTTTAAAAAGAGTTTGGTTATAAGTTTTGAATAAAACTTTCAATAGAGTTTGAGTTGTGTATTTAGTTATGAGTTATTCCAAATCAATTTCAAAACACATTTAGAAAACATATTTGGTAAACCAGACATTTTTTGAATTATTGGTTTACCCGGTCGTCCGCCCAAACATCCTCCCGGATGTTCGGTCGGTTGACCAAAACAGTACTTTTTTTTTTTTTTTGCAATTGCCAATTGTCACATGTTATTTTAAAATATATATATATATATATATTATATTTGTTTTTGATATTTTTTAAATATAGAAA